GTATTTGGAAAAACTCTTCTTCTTCTTATTCTTCTTCTCCAACGTGCTGAGCAAGGTGAGTTTAATTTCAGTTGTTTAATTCTTGGATTTATAAGTTGATTTGATTCTTTGAGTATTATATAAGCTTAAGGAAAGCTTATATAAGCTTTAAACATCAAGAATAGAGAAAAAAGGAAATTATATTAAGAGTGTAAAAATGGACTTTTGTTATAGAAAAGTTTTTTGAAGTTTTAAAGCTGGATTTGACTTGTCAAGGGTCTAATTAAGAGTTAGAAGCAATTGAATGGAATTTGGAACATGTTAAATTGAGTATGATTCTTGAATTTCATAAGGAATATAGGATTTTGGTTAAGATGATTTACATGGATAAGTTGGTTTAAGTAATGGTAGTTGAGTTTAATGACATATTAGAGGCTTAAAATAGAAGAATTAAGGGAAGAGTTGATGATTTTCGTGCTAAATGCAAATTCTGGGCAAGGTGTATCGATGCATATTCAATGTGCATCGATGCACTCTTTAAAGAAGAAACATTGAATGCAATTGGTGCATCGATGCATAAAGTGCATCGATGCATCCCCTTAAAATCAAATCGAAGGTAATTTGTGTATCGATGCATGGGTAGTGCATCGATGCACATGTTAAAGAATGCATCGATGCACTGTAGAATGCATCGATGCACTTCAAGGGGAAATTGAAATAGACATTTCTTTTAGTCTAAGAAATGATAGATTATAGTATATCAATTGGATACTGATATATCAATAGTGATATGTAGATATCGAACACGAACAAGTTCCAGAACGATCATGAAGTAGATTCGATCGAAAGAAAGGAAAATCATAAAGTGGATTGGAACTTAGTGAAGCTCAGGTGAGTGCATATTAATTGTTTATGTGCTAAATGGAAACAAGACTTGTGACAAGTCTATTTACTATGTTGAATGCATGAATATATGTTATACGTATATGCATGACATAAATTGTATGTATGCATGATTATATGTGTTAACATGCTTTGAATTAATGATATGAGAGTATGTGCTATGTGATGTATATATAGCCATATGACAGGATATATGTGAACATGAGAAACAAAGTATAAGATATAAGCTATGAAATCTTATGAGAATATGAAAAGAAGCTATGTGACTACATGTATATGTGAAAGAAGCTATGAGCTATATAACGTGATATGAAAGTGTACATGTGAATATGTGACATAGATTGCTAATGCCCATGTTATTGTAAGAGAGCTAGATATAGTTGGCATGCCAAGAGTCGAGGGTTCTACGTGGTCCTTCGGGACATATATGTATTCTTTGGAACATTTACAGGGTCTTATGAGACACATATGTGATCCATTGAAATATGTATATGGTTCTTAAGGAGTGGTCCTCGGGACAATACAGTACATAGGTCCTTCGGGACAATCTCATACCCCTAGTGGGACCCTATATGAGCTGTGGTGACATCATAGTGCATAACCTCAATAAACTCACACATCTACAGTTCTCACAGATGTACATGGGCTAACAAAGAGATAATAATAACATAGATATTACGTGTAAAGTATATGCTTTTGTGATATGAATGGTATTATATGATTGATATGATGATGTGTATATGTGTACATTTGATTACATGAAATGCTATATTGTTTTGTGTGATAGCATGATATGATATGTTCATGCAGATTAAGTAGTTAAAGTTACTTTAATGTGTTTAATGCCTCACTAAGTCATAGACTTAGCGTGTTTTACACGTAGGTTCTGGAAAGCCAATAAGAGAAGTTTAGAGGAGCAAGACAGGTCATCATTTTCCTTACAACGTTTCAGATCAGAAAATAAATGATTTAAATGTGTTTGGTTAATATGAACATAGTTGGCATGTACTAATTGATTGAGCTGAAGATGCTCTGACCGATTTTGGTTATTTTGGTCAATTTATGTAAATAAACAATTTTTATTTTAATGAAAGTTTTTTTTTAAAATTTTCTTTGAATATTTTCAAGAGTCAAAGTTTGAAAAGTCAATGTGACACCCCATACTCGTATTCGGGTCGGTACGGGTTTAGGGTGTTACAAAATTGTAGTTCTTACCTTCATAAATCCAAATTTAGAATGTTGAACAATAAAGTTACCACCTTTGGGAGACTTGAAGAAGAGGAAGAAGAAAAGAAAAGATGAATAAGAAGACAAAGGAATGGCTTTCTCTTCCCAATATGTGACATAGACATCTTAATGGAAGATCAACCTTTTTTAAACAATGGGTGAATTACTCCTATGATCCTCCTTAGTTTGCCCCCAATTCAAAAACACCATTTTTAATATCTTTTGGGCTCAACTTAATCCCAATTTCATGTCATACTTACCCAATTGCTTCCTAAAGCATTATCATAAACTCTAAGCCCAATGATTTACTCGAAAATACTAGCCCAATTTTCAGGGTGTTACAGGTGTGAGAAAATATAACGTTGGCCTTAGTGGTGTAATATGATTACTTGTATGACTTCATTGGTAATTGTTATTATACATATACGATATATCTATATACATGATCATAGTGGCACTGGAAATATATACAATGATGCAGTCTTAGTGGTGAATAAGTATCTATCTATTACGACTTTAATGGCGATTGTAGTATACATATTATACTATTATGGTTTTAGTGACAAAACACTTGTAGAAGTTAAAGATCACATATATATGGCTACACTCGATATTAAATAAAGATTAAGAGCTATTATATATTGATGATGTATAAGTCATTATTGTCTTATTGGTTATGTTGATAGTTCATGGCTAGACTCTTAATACAATGAGGAAATCATGAATTGAGGAAATCATGAACCTTATAATATCTTATTTAAACATGTCATGTCTTGGATTGTGAATAAGGTATATCATCACTGCTTATATTTTATGAGATTCATTATGTATTTTTTTATTAGTGATATACTATTAAGCTTGTGAACTTCAGTATTCGGATGTTTCTGTTCGCATCTTAACAGACTTAAATAATGCGAGGAATATCATCGTCACAAGATTTTAATATATGTTTCCACGGTACAATATTCAAGTATTATGATGAGTATATGTACCCACAGGTCACTCATATTTGATCCTAAACTTTATTTATATTTTAAAATTGTTTAACTAAACTTGTAAATAAAGATATATTTTGCAAATTTATTTTAAATGCTTTGTAAATTAGATGGTTTGAATTATGATTATTTCAATTTATGTTGATTTTTTTAGTAGTTGTCGCTTCATTAGTCTAATATGACACACTAAGCTTAATTAGATTTAAGGATTATATAAACAAATATTCATAATATTATCTTTTAGATATCTATGAATATAACACGTCTTGTTAAAACCTTACTAATATAATAAAAAAATAAATATATTTTTAATACGTATAATATGCTACCTCATTAGATAAAATCTTAATAGAAAAACATTGTAGAATAAAGCATATTTTCCTCTCTTAATAATATCAAGTAAGATTTTTAAATATTAAAGATAAATTTTATTTAAAAAGAATCCGAGGCCAAATTGCATCAAACAAAAAATAATATTTTCCTCTTTTAATAATATTTACAACAACAACAACATCAAAACCTTATTCTCATATGTAATGAGGTAAGTGGAGGTAGGGTAGTAGGTTGCTCCCAACTCCATGTTGAGAGCAACTTCTGTAGAAGACCTCCGATAATTAAAAAATTAAAAATAAAGATAAAATACAATGCATGAAGTAAGAGAAAGGTGGTTATTAGGCTACCCTCAACTTCATATTAAGAGCAGCTCCGTGAAAGACCTCTGGTAATTAGAAAATTAAAATTTATTTAAAGATAAATATTTTAAATAAATATGTGGCACAGCTCACACAATTGTCCTGCCACGTGTTCCCAAATAAGGCGAGTTGTCGTCACGACTCATTCTAGCGAGTGACTTTCTTACTTAAAATTATATTGTCATTTTGTTATTCCTTCAAAACATTAGGGCTCATTTTGCAAATACACCAAAATGGAAATGTGGAATAAAACCACCAATTTTCCGGTTTTAGCAAATAGGGCCACACATCTCTGATATCAATTCAAAATCCTGACCGTCCATCTTTCAGCACAGCCAATCGTGACCGTTCGTTAATCTCCTTGTTTTCCACGAAAATATCTACCCGTATTAATTAATCAGGTAGCTTTAGACAAATTCCGACTAGGATGTCAATTCTGAATCCGAGGGTTAATATGTTGCCACGTAGCTTAATCGAAAGCCAAGTTTAGTATACATTTTACGTATTTTTCATTTTTTGAGTTATTTTTCGATCTAAGCCCCTACTCTCGTGAAACCGAAGGGAACCCTAAACTCGTCTCGTCTCGTCTCTCATGGTAAAATAATAATAATAATAATAAATAAATAAAAGAAAGGAATTAGAAAACAAACTTATCTTGAAAATAATTTTTTTAAAATCGACAAATCTATTAGGGATTTAGATTCAATTCGAAATCCCTAGATTCTAACCCTAGCATGTACTCGTACTCTTGATATTCACGATTCGGCGGAGAAATTGATGTTCTTTGATGCACCGATCCCGGTAAGTCATGCATTTTATTTCGATTTTATTTGCTAATTGTTCGATTTGTTGAAGAAATAATCTTTATATACGGATTTTGAGATCGGTCGGTTAATTCGTAAGAAATTTGAGGGATTTTTCGTTTTTTTTTCGTTTTTTTTAAGTTGCAATTTGGTTTTACAGATCTGAAACACGTGTGATGTGAATGTGTGGGACATTCAGTTTCCCTGTTTGGATTGAGAAATTGTTGATGGAAAGTAGAATAGGAAACTCTCATGGAGTGGAAATTCCTAAGAAATCAAGATATTTGGATCTTAAGAGTTGTACAAATCTGGTGATTCAAAGGAGTCCTCTAAGAATAGGAGCTTGAAGAGGAAAGAAAGTTCACAAGAAGTGATGGTGAGAAGAGGAGTGATAATAACTCCAAGAGAAAGAGAGTAGGAAATCTCTTCCTCTCAGTAGTTTTAGAGCCGTCCTTGATAGCAATAGTAGCAAGAGTTTGACTGAAGTGTATAATGGTGGGTTCAGTTCGAGGTTGCACGATCCAGAAAGCTCGAAGAAGTTGGCTTGAGTAAGAAATCAAAAAATGGTAGCAGTGCTGGTGATGTTTCAGTTAGTTTGGGTAACAATGATGCGAGGATCCCAAAGCGTAAACGGCGGTTTGGGGGGCTGCGCAAATTTGGGGATGGTCAAGTGTTGAAGTTGACAGGGTGGTCTAATAGTAAAGAAGTTGTTAATGAGGAAGTGAAGTTAACCAGTGAAGATTCTGGCACTCAGAATGAGTCTTTGAAAAAAAAGGAAGATTGATGATCTTAAGGAAGCGGAACAGTGAGCCAAGATCGATTCAGCTTTTGAAGGAAGAAGATGGTACTGCTGGTTACTCAGCTGTAAATGGCGGTGACTCTTTGATAAAAAAATCATGTAGGAAGTCTAGGAAGAGGAAGGATTCAGTAAAGGGTGATAAAAGTGTTGCTAACAAGGCTGAGAGTTCAGTAGAGGCTTGTGATGTCTTTCAAGATGATGAAGAGAATCTTGAAGAAAATGCAGCAAGAATGTTATCATCACGGTTTAACCCATGCTGTACTGGCTTTTCTTCAAACAACAAAGTTTCTGTATCACCATCCGAGAATGGTTTATCTTTTCTCATATCTTCTGGTCAGAGTGCTAGTCCTGGATCTAAGAATTTGTCTGGTTCCGAATCTGCTTCTGTTAATGCTAGGATATTGAGACCAAGGAAAATTCATAAAGGGAAGGCCACCTCAAGGAGAAGGTGTCATTTTTATGAAATTTTCTCTAGAGACTTGGATGCACAATGGGTATTAAACCGAAGAATTAAGGTGTTCTGGCCTTTAGACAAGAATTGGTATTATGGCCTTGTCTATGACTATGATAAAGAGAAAAAGCTTCATCATGTCAAATATGATGACCGTGATGAGGAATGGATTGATTTACGGAATGAGAGATTTAAAACTCCTGATTTTTCCTAGCGAACTTCCTTACAAATATCAACGGAAAAGAACTCAGTGCGAAAGAGGTTCTGATGATAGAATTAAGAATGTAAAGCTCAACAAGAGAGGGTAAGAAAAATTCATTACAGACGACAGTGCTAATGGGAGCTATATGGATTCTGAGCCCATCATCTCTTGGTTGGCTCGCTCCAGTCATCGTGTCAAATCATGCCCTTTGCGTTCTGTGAAGAGACGAAAATAGCTGCTTCATCTCTTAGTTCTCCTGGTCAACAATTGTCGTGTGATGAAGCTGTAGATGAAAATGGTTGTCATCGTGGAGGTTCATTGAAGGGAAGTAAATTTAAATTGTTCAATGCCACTGCATTGTCTGACAGACCAGTTGATAGCAGAAGGGTTGAGGATTCTTCCTTGGATAGCACTAGTTACCCCAATAGAAATCCTATAGTATATTTTAGAAGGCGTTTTCACCAGATAAGTATCATGTCAGGCTTCTAGAAGCAATTGTATTGGCAGTAATGTCTGAATCTATCACATCCCTCGGCTGTGTTGATGAATTTCAGGATTTGGGTGTACTTGGTGCTGCATGGGACGGTTGGATCCTGAACTAGATTGTTGTTTATGATAATGCAGGGCAGTTACAATTGAATATTTCATTGATCATTCAAAACAAGTCAGGTTTGGGTTGAGCTTCCCTGTGCTCTGTCTCAAATAACTTGTTTGGTACAGGTAACCTTTGGCTGGTTCGTACTTTGTTGTTGCTGTGTGGTATGGTGATGCCTGTCTGGCCAATGGTTCATATGGAGATCCTTTTTGTTGATAATGAGTTGACTGAGGTTTTTCCTGTTTGAAGGTTCCTGAAACAAGCTATAGCTTTTGTTTTCCAGTCCTGATGGTATTTTATCGACCTACTGAGCGGGGAAGTGTCCTGATCTGCAGTTGCCTATAACTTCAATCAGTTTCAAATTTTCTTGCTTTCAAGATCTTAGGCAGCAGGTTGTCTTTGCTTTTTACAACTTCCACGAAGTGAAGCATTCAAAATGGATGTTACTGAACTCTAAACTGAAAGACATTGTCTGCTTAATAGGCAATTACCTATGTTTGAGTGCACTATGATAACATTAAGGCACTTCAGAATGGAACCAATCGACAGGTTCTCCTGCTTTCAAAGACTCGTCAGTTGAGGTATGCTTGTTCTCCATGATATTGGTATTTAACCTCAAAGGTGCTTGCATGGGACGGTTGGATCCTGAACTAGAATTGTTGTTTAGTGATAATGCAGGGCAGTTACAATTGAATATTTCATTGATTCATTCAAAACAAGTCAGGTTTGGGTTGAGCTTCCCTGTGCTCTCTGTCTCAAATAACTTGTTTGGTACAGGTAACCTTTGGCTGGTTCGTACTTTGTTGTTGCTGCAGTGTGGTATGGTGATGCCTGTCTGGCCAATGGTTCATATGGAGATCCTTTTTGTTGATAATGAAGTTGGACTGAGGTTTTTCCTGTTTGAAGGTTCCTTGAAACAAGCTATAGCTTTTGTTTTCCAAGTCCTGATGGTATTTTATCGACCTACTGAGCAGGGGAAGTGTCCTGATCTGCAGTTGCCTATAACTTCAATCAGTTTCAAATTTTCTTGCTTTCAAGATCTTAGGCAGCAGGTTGTCTTTGCTTTTTACAACTTCCACGAAGTGAAGCATTCAAAATGGATGTTACTGAACTCTAAACTGAAAAGACATTGTCTGCTTAATAGGCAATTACCTATGTTTGAGTGCACTTTGATAACATTAAGGCACTTCAGAATGGAACCAATCGGATACATGGTTCTCCTGCTTTCAAAGACTCGTCAGTTGAGGTATGCTTGTTCTCCATTGATATTGGTATTTAAACCTCAAAGGTCGTTATTCTTGTTTGTTTTACTTATGATTGCATGGAAATACTTAGTTTGTCTTTTGCTATCTTCCCTTAAAACTGGTTTAGTTCTTGATTTTAGTTTTTAGCTTTATGTTCTATCATCTGTGGTCATTTAACTATCAACCATGAGCTCTGGTGAGTTCTAAAATTGCTGTACAGTCATATTAATACCTTCATCATTTTGGTGACTGTAAATGGTATGGAATTTGTTTGTTATTGACCAGGGTTTAAGAAGGATAAAGTATAGGCCGGTCATCAGCCTTATGGGTGTCTCCAGAGAGTCTAGTTTTCTGGAAGTTGGCCAGTTTTCTGGAAGTTCTGAGGAGCATAGAAATATTCCCCAGTTTGCTCTTTCTTTTGGTGCTGCACCTACTTTCTTTATTAGGTTGCATCTTAAGCTACTTATGGAACGTAGTCTTGCTTGCACCAGCTTTCGTGATTGTGACTCCTTTGAGAAACCAGGAAGCTCTGGCAATTTGTTGTTGGATTACCGCTCTAATAGAGAGGACTGCATGAACAACAATTCTCAAAGTAGTGTAGAAAAAAATTTGAAGGCTTCATTAAAGGATGTTGCTACTGGTGCTGAGTCAACAACTCTCGATCTTTCTGTTTGTGGTAATGTATGTCTGAAGAAGTCCTCACAGAAGTACAAAAATGGTGATCAAATTGTGGATGGAACTTCTGTTAATTCTCATGAACCTGAAGAAGTTGGAGCCATAGCCATTGGTTCATTTTGGAAGCAGCAATGTGACAATTCAGAGTCCCAGCAACTTGTTTGTCCTCGAAGTCTCCAGTTGATGGTGATAAGAAGAATGCAAGTTGTAGTTCTGTTTTGAATGGTATTACGGTTGAGATTCCTCCCTTTGATCAATATGGAAAGTATGGTGACAGTGAATTACCCAGTTCTCAACAGCCTACTGATTGGACTTGGAGTATGATCGGTGGTATTATACCAAGTCCTAATCCTACTGCTCCTAGAAGTACATGGCATCGAAATAGAAGTAGTTCATCAATTGGTTATCATGCTCATGGTTGGTCGGATGGAACGGCTGATTTCTTCAACAGTTATTTGGAAATGGACCTAAGAAGCCACGAACTCAGGTATCATACTCAATGCCTGTTGGAAGTTTAGATTACAGCTCAAAAATAAAGCAGCAGAGAGCCCTTCACAAGCGAATTAGGAGGGCAAATGAGAAGAGATCATATAATGTTTCTAGAGGCTCCCAAAGGAACTTGGAGTTATTATCTTGCGATGCAAATGTACTAATTACTATTGGTGACAGAGGATGGCGTGAGGGTGGGGTGCAGGTTGTGCTTGAACTTTTGATCATAATGAATGGATGCTGGCTGTGAAAGTATCGGGGTCTACAAGGTACTCTTACAAGGCACATCAGTTCTTGCAGCCTGGATTACCAATCGTTTTACACTTGCTATGATGTGGAAAGGGGGGAAAGATTGGATCTTGGAGTTCACAGACAGGAGTCAGTGGGCTCTCTTCAAGGAGATGCATGAAGAGTGCTACAACCTTAATGTTCGTGCTGCTTCTGTGAAGAACATTCCTATTCCTGGGGTTCGCTTAATAGAGGAATATGATGAAAACGCAATGGAAGTGACATTTGTTCGCTGTTCTTCAAAGTACTTGTGCCAGGTTGAAAATGATGTTGAGATGGTTTTGGATCCATCCCGTGTTTTATACGACATAGATAGTGATGACGAACAGTGGATTTCAAGAATTCGCAAATCTTCACAAAGTGATATTGACAATTCTTTGGAATTTTCTGATGACATGTTTGAGAAGGTTATGGACATGTTTGAGAAGGCTGCATATACTGAACAGTGCACTCAGTTTACTACTGAAGAAATACAAGAGCTCATGGCTGGAGTCGGGTCCCTGAAAGTAATCACAGCAATCTATGGGCATTGGCAACAGAAGAGGCAGAGAGTTGGAATGTCTTTAATTCGTCATCTGCAGGTATTTTTCGAAAAACCTTCTTTTTAATTCCTTTGTTTCTTTTAGTCAATGCCTTTTAGTTTTACTAGCAGGTTGAAATAGTCAACATCTTTTTGGTGCAAGGCCACCTGAAGTACTTGGTTCTGCACAGATGTATTCAATAGTCTGAATAGTGTTCATTTATTAATTTATTTAAATGTAATTTCTTCGCAAACACATGTACTTGCCATCAAGAACCTGGAAAGGACAAAACAGAAAATCTGGATCACATTGTTCAGTTATTTAAGTATTGGTTGCATTTTAATGTGTTAAAACTAATAACAAATAATTATTTAGTAGTTAGTACTTGTTCAAAGAACATGACAAAAATATCCTGTAGTTTCTGGATTATTTATAGGGTAAACCACGTGTTTAGTACCTAAACTATCGGTTTTGCTCCGTTTTAGCCTAAACTTTCAGTTTTTTTCAAAATCATACTTAACATTTAGTTTTTGTGTCATTTTAGTACCCGCCGTTAAAAACTTAATGTGTTTAGTGCCTAAACTATTAGTTTTGGTTTGTTTTAGTACCTAAACTTCCATTTTTTTCTCAAAAACTTAACGTTGAGTTTTTTTTTTTGATAGAAAATATATGGAGGCCTCATTAAAAACGCCCTTCTTAACCTTCATGTTACAGCAGTAACCTGAAGGACATTGGAAGGAGGAAAAGAGTGTCAAAATTTATTAATAGAACATAGTTACAAAGCCTGTTCCAAACACCCTCCACTCACAACATACATCTCAAAACAAATAAAAACACCCTGACGAGAAACATACAACTGAAAACAACACAAAACTCCCAGACCCACAACACTGGAATCATCCAATTCCTTCTTTTGCCAACTCATCCGCCTCCCAATTGGATGCTCTCAAAATATGCCTAACTATAACATCCTGTCCTACCACTAGAGAAGCAATGTCTTTCACCAAAGACACAAACAGCGGGGTACAGCGACCAGGATTGTATTGATATTTAGATTATTATTGTCGGATAATTTGGGGTAATTAGAAACTGAGGAACTTGAGATTGGGAAACCAAGTGGTGGCCCAACACTCTATTTTAATTTAGGCAAAATTGAAACAAAGGAAAGTTCACTCATTTCGTTTCCATCTATTTTCAGTCTTATTTTATAGCCCGAAGAATTCTCAAATTCATCTTTCAAGGCTCTGATTTTACATGACAATTTCACTATGTTACCGTGGTTGGTTTGTTCATGTGTTTTGTTTTATCTCAAGTATTTTATGATGTCCAACTTATTATAAAATGTTTGGTTTTCATTCAGCCGCCATTGTGGGAAAGGTACCGACAGCAAGTGAGAGAGTGGGAGCAAGCAATGTCTAAATGTAACCCTAAATCCATTGAAAAGCCACCCATGTTGCTTTCTGTATGAAACCCCGGGTTTGGAACTTCCGAATAAAGGGTCAAAGCATAGATCCCAGAGGAGAATTTCAGTTTCAGGTCAATGCCAACATGCCTTGGGAGATCACGAGGGTTGCCATTCCTTTGGTAAATGTTCTTACACTTTCATTTTATTCTTATTTTTCTTAATGTTTCGCTTTGCAAACTGAATTCATTTTCTGTCATTTCAGGCAGAAGATCAAATGGGTTCCTGTTTGGGGATGAAAAGTTTCTATATTCCTCACATAATTATGAATCTTTAGAAGATTCGCCACTGTCTCAAGCTTCACCAAGGTTATTTTCACCACTGGATGTTGGTAGCATGGGGTATTTCCCAGTGGGCAGTGATAGGTTTGATAAGAATCACCTCCGGAAACTTCAAAGAACCGAGTTGAAGAAGTATGGCACTTTTCTATCATCAAACAAAGCACAGACGGTGAATTTATACAATCAGAGGCTAATTGGCAAGAGAAATGGAATTCATCGATGGAACAGGGATTTTATTGACTGGCCAAGTCAGCGACATTACTTCCTGATGGTTTTTCAAAGACAGGGCCCGGAACAGTGGGATAATTCTGATTGACGAGTTCACGTTGCATGATGCATCTAGTGCAGCCCAGCATGCATTAAAAATGGCCAAGTTCAAGAGAGAAAAAGCCAAGAGATTGCTTTTCAGAGCTGATCTGGCAATTCACAAGGCTGTTGTTGCTCTCATGACTGCAGAGGCAATTAAAGAATCTTCCGAGGACTTAAATGGTGATGGGTAGAACGACCTGATGGAATCGGACTGTTGACTGAATGAAATTACCAGCACCATTCAGTTCTGGAGCTGATGAAATACGTAAAGGATCGAACATTCTTTCCCCGGAAACGGTGGCCTGGAGTTCTCATCGATTGATCAAAGAGTAAATTCCAACATGAAAGCTGTGAGTGGGTGGTAGTTTTTGCTTCTGCTACACATATCGTTGCGGTTCTTATGTGCCAACCTCACAGCATTTCCGGCCTCTGTATTTTATTTTCAATACCAGCTCAGCCGTTGTTTTGATTCTTCCAGTAAGTGGTGTAGGGAATTTTGGGAGGCTATATCTGTACAGAAGAATTCTTTTTTTTTTTTTCGTCGATGACGTCTTAGTTTGCTCGTTATTCCTTCCTCGTAGCCTTGATATGTGATATCAGAGTAGCAGGTTAGCTCAAATAATACGGCATTCTCTTTTGGAGTCAAATGGATGTTTAAAATTTGGAGCATTTGATGGAGATAATGTATGAAAACAAAGTGCCTAATCTGAATTGAGAAACACAAAATGCTGCAAGTATTGTTATTATTAGCATATAACATCTTGACAGAGATTTTCATTGAGGGTCAGAAAGAGTCATTTATTGGTTATTTTAGAAGTGAACTGTGGGCTGTGTATTTGGTTCATTTTCCATCGTCTGTTTTGCTCTACAACATTGTTGCTTAGGTGAAGTTTGGGTTGAAAATAATGAACAAATGATTGATAATGTTGAAGTGAAGGGGGTGCTTCTTTTTTCAAAGACTACTTTGTAAAAAAAGCATTATTGTGAAAATGAAATGTTTAAAATAGTAATAAAAAATGAAAAACTTGTAAATGTTAGCATTATTTGTTTAAGAAAGCTATTTGGTTCAAAGGCTAGCTTTAATAGAGAGGTTCCACTCTTTTAGTGTTTTTTGCTTTGTCAAAAATCCACATCAAAATCTGATAAATGTTCAAAGCTTATATTTTGGGTGGCTAGAGTCTCCCAACGTGATTTGTAGTGTCTATTCTTGTATGCGTATTTTGGTGCAGGCATGATTACTAAAATAAGAGATGCTTAAGAGATCTTATCTATTTCCACATATAAAAGAAGCAGTAATTCTGAGCAAAGTCCGATGTATTTTAAAACATTCTTCCAATATGACAGCATCCACAGAATTTACATAAACTTCATAAGTTACTTAGACTAAAAAAATGACATCATATCAAAATAGTTTCATCTGTGTAACTCTAAACAGCCAGATCTATCCATGTTAAGCATTTGTCGAACTTCACTGGGAGGGTCGTGAGGCTCCAAAAGACTTGAGTCTGTCATTTCTTGCTAGGTGAGCTATAGTTCTTCCGTTTCGTTCATCTCACGTCGGATACAGGAAATTTCCACATTCCAGTGGTTATAGATTAGCTTTCGAATTCTTCGGATAATTGGATCCTCTTGCATATGTGGAATATCATGAGCGTATTCACCACTTCTCTGTTATCGAGTTCCGCTACGGCAACTTTGAATCCCTTGTTCCACGCAAGTTGAAGACCATCAAAAAGCGCCCACTGCTCAACTTGGAAGGTGAGTAGCGTCCAATGTTGCAATGGGAAGCCGCGTATTACCAAATTGCGACCGCAACACAGCGTAACGGCCGCATCGTAATGTTTTTGGAGGTTACCACGATGCAATATTGACGCTACACGTTACGTAATATTTTAGAAATAGTGTATTTTTTATAAATAAATCACGCCCGCAACCACCGTTAACGTCCGCAACCGCATTCACGACGGACACCGCAACCGCAATATGATACTATGCTCCAAGCCACTGCCTGTTATTCTCTCTGATTAAACCTCCAGCAGTAGCGTCGATGGTTCTTAGATCGACGGCTCCATAAGTATTGAGATTGACTGTTCCAGCTTTAGGTGGATGCCATCGTTTCCTTACATTTTGTTGGACGCCACCTCGCTGATTATCGCCACGGTTGCTTTTAATGGTTTGAGCGCACGTACATGCGGAGTTGATATTTCCACTGTCGACCAAACCTCTCCATTAAAGATAAAATTGTTATGTTGTTTCCGCAATCTCCATATCCAAACAAATGCCTAAAGTGGTAGTCTCTTGATCAAGACATGTGGAATTAATAAGATTAGTACGAATTCAATCAACCAAAGGCATGGAATAAAAAATGCATATTATTTACAGGAACAAATTGTTCCCAAACATTCTTGCTGCGGGCATTCCCGAAGAACATGGAAGCTAGTTTCATCTCCCCATGACACACGGGCAAGTAAACTCAGCAGATAGCCCTCCTTTCGCTCGTTCCTTACGAAGAATATGCCAAAGGAATTGACGTATCCGTTGCAGTCCATCGAAGTCCCAAGCAATATTCCAGTTCTTAGCCTCCACGTCCCAATTGTTTACATCTCATGAAATGCTGATCGGACTGTACAGGTATCTTTATGGTGCCGTCTCCACAAGGGATGGTCTTCCCCTAACTCGTCTTGAGGCGCAGGAGAATAAATTGCTTCCTACTACTCCTCTCGCTCTGCTTTTTTTTATCCGACCCATTCAAGATAGCGTTGAAGTCTCCTCCAAATATCCAGGGGTTCCAGAACTCACATGGATGGCACTAAGGTCCCTCCATAAAGCCTTACGCTTGTACCTGTAAGGACTACCATAGAGAGAGGTTACGATTAAGGGTAAGGAAAGCTAATACCTGTGATTCTAGTATGAATAAATTGAGGAGCGCCTGCAATAACATCGACTGCGATGGACGAATCCCAGAAAAGCCAGATTCCGCCTGAAAATCCAATAGCCTCCACCCGAAAGGAAAAATCAAACCCGAGCTTTACTACGAATTCATCTGCTTTTTCGCCGCTAATTCTCGGTTCAAGTATGGCCACTAGATTTGGTTTATGTTCCCGCATGTACACTTGGAAAATCTCGGAAACTTGTATCTGCCCTACCTTGGCAATTCCACGTTAAATATGTAAAATTCATAAATAAATTTGGAATAGAAGGTACCTCTCCTGGACTAGGCCGATTATCATTGTTTGTTCCGTTTCAATAATTTGGGACTGAACCTGCTCTTGAATACACCATTCATAGCTTCACGAAAAGTAGCCTGATCTAGTGAAATGCTTTTGAATTTCATAAATTTGTTACGAATAGTACCCGAGGTTCCTGTCAAAAACCATCATTCATATCAACCAAGCTACAAAGCAATGATTTATATACACAAAGCTAAGCTATCCTAACAGAATAACAAACCTCTAACTATCTGCTAACCTAATAAACTGAATTACAATCACTTATAAACTTAAGAGTTCCCCTTTCTTAGCTGGTGCTCCACGACGGAAGAAGTGAGTTTAGCGCACGACTGGTTATTTCTCGTTGGATTTGAGCTGATGGAACGTGATTGCCTTGTGGAAATTGGATTAGGGTCGTCGCAAGGAGCTGACCATCTGCACCCAAAGAGTTTTCGACGATAGGATTATTATTAGAAATAAAGTTGCAAGTTGGAACCATTTAAGCTTACCACTCTAGCTGACTTAGGAAAATCCAGCTTCAGAGAGCCTTGGCCGGAGTTTCTATCAATTAACGTGTTTGAGGAAGCCAGGTTGGTAGTCGTCTGCATGGCAACGCTAGCCTGATTCTCGTGCAGGAGAAGGCTAGCATGGGATAGATTAGGGGGTTGGGCTTCCATAGGTTTAGAAATCAGCACGTGGTCTCGACACCAAGGCCTGACAACGATCCACTTTGGATGTCAAAGTGGGTTTGTTGTGTGAAAGCTCCTTGAATGTGACCGTTGGCTTTGGTATTCCTTTGGATTTAGTCAAAATTTACAACTAGAGGCCATATAATTGGTCGAATCAGGAGCATTAACTTTTTGATTGGGAATAAGGGGTTGGGCTTCCATAGGTTTAGAAATCAGCACGTGGTCTCGACACCAAGGCCTGACAACGATCCACTTTGGATGTCAAAGTGGGTTTGTGTGAAAGCTCCTTGAATGTGACCGTTGGCTTTGGTATTCCTTTGGATTTAGTCAAAAATTTACAACTAGAGGCCATATAATTGGTCGAATCAGGAGCATTAACTTTTTGATTGGGAATAATTGATTTATAGCAACTCCACGATTCTCTCCAACAATCTCCCTTGCTTTGCTTTGATGAGTCTTTAGGATTGAAATTATCAATCAGGTTCGTGAATCTCGATCCGGGTCTTGAAGTTTCCTTAGGATCCTCCGTCTTCTTCGTCGTTCCTGTTGTAGGCCGCCGGCATCTCCTCTCCACCATCAACCAAGGGTCGTACGGTTCTTCTTCCAAGGGGACATCGGCTTCAGAGGCTCTGTCGGAATTTATGCTTTTATTACGCATGACTGTTTTTTCTGAACTAGTCAAATCATGGTTGTAGACACTAGTTTTTTTGCCTATTTTTTTCATTTATTATTATTTTATTTTATTTTTAATAATAATAATAATAAATAAATAAATTATTATTACTATTGCAGGCCCAAAATACAACAACCAAACTCAATTACAAATCCTGGAAGCCCAACAGGAGACCTAGAAGCCCAACCTAGTCCAAACAATTTGAATCGGTCTAAGTTTCTAACCTTAAACTCGATTAGGGTTTCATCTCATGCTCAAGCCGCCAACACCATCAGCCATTGGATCTGGAGAGATCCAACGGCCATAGATGCGCTAAAAGAAACCTTACGGTTATGATACCCTAGGGACTACGCCGGCCACCGCCTTTGACATCTAACAACCACCTGCTGCCCCGCCCCGTCAC